AAAAAAAAAAAAAAAGGGCTAAAAAAAATAGGGTCCCCGTAAAGTTCGGCATGCGGCTCTTTACACAGACGTGTGCTTCTGAAATCGATCAGATGATTTGAGGGCAAGCCTGCTCCGATGGCCAAGAGCGCAGCAGACCCAGATCGTAGGGTGCCAACGAAGCGGCCTCCCCCTCGAACAGCTGCGCTTGACCTGAGGCTTCATGGTTACGTGGTCCGGGCTTCACTTCGGTCTTGCGGTCATGTAAGCACCGCACACGCGGGATCATCAAGCAGCGTCTCCCGGACCACGCTGAGAGGAATGGCCAAGCTGAGAGCCACAGCATCGCCTGTTCGACACGATGCAACTTCGGCTTGCCTCTGACCCTGCAAGACCAGGCTACATAGAACATGACGACTGACCTGATCTGCTGCGAAGCGCGGGCGCCATGATTGCCACCACTTCTGCCTCGTCCATAACAAATCAGAAGAAAAAGAACTGTGCGTGTCGGGAGCAGGGCCCGGCCTTCCTTCCCATCTTCAACACAACAGCGCCTCCTGTAGAATTCTCTGCAGTAGCATCCATCAAGAGAAGGCCTGGAGACGTCGAGGTGTTGCAAACTATACCTTGGCTGCACCACACACATTGCCTCCCAAACCTTTCAAAGCCAAGGCACCTGTGACCCGTTGCCTTACCTGGAGCTCCCTGCTGCAGAAGTGTGACACGATTTTCGGGCTGTGCCCATTACCCGCGTTTTAGTTTCTCCATCCTTCGTCACAACCGGACCGGACAAGGAAGCCACCCCTATGTCCGCCGGTCTGCTCCCGTACTCGCCTTTCAGATATAACGACGGAGGCCGGCTTTGGCAAGATCTATCCCGGTGTGCACAACCCGCATTCACCACAGCCAGCAAGCAAGCAGACTCCAGCTGAATCTCTGCCCGAAGTATATACTGCATCATTCCGCCATACGCAACGTCAAGACTTAAACAACAAAAACACATGAAGACAATCAGCCGGAAACCTGGTCAGTCGAGAATTCCAACCCTGAACAACAAAGAAATCGCATCGCGAGAGCGCCGGTGAAAACGTTACAAGTGTATGGCAGCCGAAACTCTACACCCGAAACACTGGACCCTACGAGAGCCGAATCAGTTGCAATCCTCAGCGGGAGCAACTGAAGGCCAAGACGAGTTTCCAATACTGGACAGCCTGACCGGCCGAACACCCCACTGGCAACGAGCCCCAGTCTAAGCTTGAACCGGATGCCGGACTCACGAGCAAGATATCCATAAACCACTCTTACCACAAAAGTACGGTGCCCCAAAGAGTGAGATTTCTGGAATTGCGCCCATTCAGAACGAGATCAACACCCACAAAACCGTCGCACTTGTAACAGGAACCAGCGCGCGACGCAACGGGAGCCACATTTCAGGAACCGACCAAGACGTAACAGGAACCAGCAGGACATGCAAGTGGAAGGCCATAAATAGGAACTGGGTTGCGGCTAGTAACTGTAACCAGTGGGAGTTGCAACGGAAACCAGCCGGACAACGAAACTGAAGCCTGGTTTTGGGTTGAGACTTTAAGTTACACTTTTCGCAAAACAAAGCCCGTACAAAGCCTTTAGAAGCTTTCCATAAACTGTTATACTTGGGGAGGAGGGACTGGGACGAAAGCTAGAAGCGTCAACAACCGAGGCCTTTCCAGCGCAGCCAAGCATGCATATACGCCAACGGGTCCGGTTTTGTACTCAGAAGCGGCTTCACAGCAAAGTGCGGAGTCGGATCATGAGCATCATTAGGGGCTTCTTGGGGCCAACACACGCGCATCATGAGCATCATCGGGGAGCCGTTTTTCCACTCGGGAGCAGTCGCACCACATTCAAACACCCCAAAACCGAGTGGGCCCCAGCCGAAAACCAGCACCAGCTGGGGAATAGCCCCAAATAGGCGCAGAAAATGCCCACCTCGGCGGGGGCCCTTCCCCACACCCCTAGATGCAACCTTTCGGTTGGTAAGGAACTCGGCTTGCCACGGAGGCTAGCTTTCGTGATAAGCCCTTAGAAACCCTGAAAAGCCCTTACAACCCTAATAAAGCAACTTTTTGTGTAAGCCCTTTTTCGAGCCCTTTGAAAGCTTTACAAGCCCGTGTAAGAAACCCTCAGAAACCCTGTTATAAGCGCTTTAACCTTGAAAGCCCTTTAGACACCTTTTCTTGGACCCTTAAACCTCAACCCAAAACCCCTAAACTAAACCCCTAACCCTTAAACCCTAAACGCCCTAAACCCTCAGACCAAACCTTACCCCTCCTCTTCATGTCCTTTTCCTCTTCCTCTCCTCTTCCCTTCCTCTTCCTCTCCTCTTCCTCCGATTTTTTGCAACCCTAAACCCAGAAATCCACCCACCCTTCAAAACACATCGATTAAAGAACTTTATCATGAAAGCTTTACTTTTCCTCTATTTGTACATTCCCCCCCCTAGAACCCCCTCTTCCCTACACCCTAAACCCTAACCTACCCCGAACCCTAGACCCTTAACCTTTAAAAACGCACGGGTTGAGTTAGGATTTCACCAGGAGTCCTCATAAAACCATGGTTTCGTATGGTTTGTGCTGCGAAACTACGCTAACCAATATTCTACACCCTTTTTTACACAGACTTCATTGGAGCTCGCCCGGCCTAAACCCTTTTTGCAACTCGCTTCCTAACCCGAAACCCGCAAGTGCTAATAAGAGCCAGCGGCGTGTTTGCCGTACCCGTGAAATCGGCTACTCGGGACTCGGGGGGTGGATATTAACGAGATTGCCGTACCCGTGAAAT